TCACCTCAGCTATCCTTCGAAATGGATATAAGAGACAAGAGCAGGGTGATGACAGGAAGCAGTCTTGTAGAGTGAGGTGCTTAAAAGAAGGTGTACAGAACGAATAAGATGATAATAGGAAGAGAAGCTACTCAGACACATTAGGAAAGGAGGTACCACCTTTAAGAAGCTTTTGTTACCTCTACTACCTGGTGCAAGGAAGCTTCTAGAGCAAATCTATTTAGAAGTATTTCTTACTAAGTTTAGTTTGTCAATAGGGACACTCCAGTTACCTGGTATTCAAACTCTCTGCAGTTCTTAACACCATAGAGCTTTCATAGCTTGTCAACAGATGGCTCTAGAATCTAAAGTGTACCTACCAATGACTCTTGTACCTGCTGTCTAAAAGAAAAACAAACAAAAACACATCTCGAGAAAACTCTAACTGCCCCATTTTTCACCCCGTCTCAGTGTGGATTCTCACGAAAGACGTTATCACTCTGCTCTTCCTATTGCACTGGGAGAAGGGGGATGTAGGAAAAGAAGGTGAGAGTATAACGTAGTCTTAAATAAAGCTGCGAGACTGCAAGGAAGGATTAATGAAGCATTGTCCATATTCACTGCCTAAGTAAGCTTATATATGAACCTCCTGAGATTCCCAAGCATCTTTCTATAGTAATTATTTATTTATAATCCTTATCCTTCATCTTTTTTACACATTGTGACTATAATCACAACTATGAAAAGCTTATTTTTCTATAAAATTAATTTGAGTCTTAATCTTAAGGGTGCTGAAAATGATTATTTATTTAGGTTGCCTAAAGTAGATAATATATGTTTATACTCTGCACATTAATAATTCAAGTGTCTTGTTGGCTTTATTTTGATTGATTCATTCATAGGACTAGAAGAAGAACTATTGCTAGCTGGGCATGCTGGCTCATGCCTGTAATTCTGGCACTTTGGAAGGCTGAGGCTGGTGGATTACCAGAAGTCAGGAGTTCGGGACCAACCTGGCCAACATGGTGAAGCACCATCTCTACTACAAAGACAGAAATTAGCTAGGCGTGGTGGTACACGCCTATAATCCCAGCTACTCGGGAGGCTGAGGCAGGAGAATTGCTTGAACTCAAGAGGCAGAGGTTGCAGTGAGCTGAGATTGTGCCACTGCACTCCAGCCTGAGCAACAGAGCGAGACTCCATCAAGAAAAAAAAGAAAAGAAAAAAGAAAGGAAGAGAGAGAAAGAAAAAGAAAGAAAGAAAGAAAGAAAGGAAGGAAGGAAGGAAGGAATGAATGAGGGAAGGAAGGAAGGGAAGGAAGGAAGGAAGGAAGGAAAGAAAGAAAGAGAGAGAGAGAGAACTACTGCTAGTGACATGTAGAAAATACAATCGGACAAAATGGTAGTTCCTAGGACTCTAAGCATATTAGGGAATCATAGGTAGGACAAAAGTGAGCTGAAAAAGACCATAATTGTTGTTATAGATACTTTGGTTCTCCTTCTTTGTAACTCTGAATGTCCTGGGACCCAAGGACTGACGCATCTTCGATATAAACATATACACGTTTTCTCACACACTTATGCACACAGACAAGATAAACACTCTTGCTCTCAAACTGGTCCATGTGCAGAATAGGCTTCTGGTTAGTGACAGCCTCTAAGCATGCTGCAATCCTTAACTGAAATCCTACAGACTCCCAAAGCCCCATTTCAAGGATGTTCTAAAAATATCTGCTTCACATTACCCAGGCTGTAATTAAGTGGCTAGCAGTTATTTAAAAGGGAGACAAGAAATCTAGATGTCATGTTGTAATTGGGAAATAGCCACAGTAAACAAACCAAAGCATTCTCTTTGTAGAAGAGCACTGGATACTTCATTTAGAGAAATCTTTACAAAAAGACCTAACCTTAGAAACACAAAATGTTCAGCAAATCACCAGCATAGTTTCTTTAGATAAGAGACAGCTAGGAACAAGACGAACAGGGAATTGACGGGTGTGAAGAATATCACCTTAGCACGTTTATACTCACCCTGCATTAGAAGCTAATAGAGAAATGTCCTTGTTTTTAAGAAAGGACAAACTTCACGGTATCTTTACTGCATATCTTTACTGATTCACTCTACTTTATTACATAATAAGTTTTTACCTAAATGAATTGTCTTAAAATTTCTAACTCTGAAGTAAAAACAGGGAAGACAACTAGATACATATTTTTTCCAATATGAATTATGCTATATACCAAGAGTCAAGTGATTTTAATCTATATAATTGCATTTAGTCCCACTACTACAAGACTATAAGGAGAAAAGGGAATATTCTTTTTACTGATGAAAAATTCTGAGGCTTAGCCAAGAAAATTTAAATAACTGGTTCTAGTTGCATAGTTCTTTCAAAGAAGGAGAAGAATGGAATAGACAAGTACCACTTCTGAATTTCTCAAGTAACAGACAGAGGTTGAGAAGGGAATAAAATCACCTAGACTGTGTCTCAGTAGAGGAAGAAAAACCCCTGAGGCAGGAAGGGAGCCCAGTCTCCCATACTTGCAAATAACAGTAGTGGTAGTAAAAATCACTTATTAGCAAATAGTTTTTGAGCAGCTATTATGTGCTAGGTGCTATTGTTAGAAGTGGAGATACAACAATAAACAAAAGCAGCCAAAATTTCTAGCCACATGGAGACCTCCCAATTTCTAACTGGGGAGATAATGAACAACATATTATACAAAAGTAAAATACGTTGTGTGTAAAAGAGTGATAAATACTAACGGAAAAAGGAAACATAAACCGAGTATGAAATGTCATGGAGAGGGTTTGCAATTTTGTACTGAACAGAAAAGACCTCCCTGAGAAGGTGACATTTAAGTAAACATCTGAAATAAGAGAGGACATGTGACACATAAATATTTAGGGAAAAAGAAAATAAGAGAAGGGAACCTCAAGCTCAGAGGTCCTGAGGTCGGTTTATACCTACAGTGTTTGAGAACAGTGAGGCAGCCAATGTGACTGAAATAGAATCACAGAATTAACAGAAAGTATTAATATGAAATAAGGTCAGAGAAAGAGTGAGGAGGCAGATCATGCATAAATACTTCAAAGTCATCCTAAGACCTTAGTCTGAGTGACATTGTAAGCTAATGAGGGCTTTTGAACAAAAAGTTAATGAATTATGACAATGTAAATATAATTTATTTAAATACTTACTACACCATTAAGTTTGTATGTCCATGTTTATTTTATTTGGGCTGCAAGAGAGATGTGTAGTAGGAAATGCAGAGACAGACAGAAGCTGTATTAGAAAAATTGGTTAATAGATTTCTGTGGCTTTCTAAACATCAGGGACCAATCCACACGAGAATTCACAAGACTGACAGAAAGACTAGGGCCCAGTTGGGTGGCAGATGACAGACAGACTGTGTGGGTAGATGGTCCACATAAACCAAAGATAATCCCTTTTGTTATGTAAGTGTGAGCATGTATAAAACTGATATATTTCTAAAAAAGAATTTGGTAGTTCTTATAAAAAATCCTTAATCTACCCCTTTTAACAAGATGTGATTATTACGTACTGCATGTCTGTATATTTCATGCAACTATAAAATATATGTATCCACAAAAATTGAAATTAAAAATTTTTAAAAAAAGAGGCTCATGACTGCATTCCCAGCATTTTGAGAGGCCAAGGCAGGAGCATTGCTTGAGCTCACAAGTTTGATACCAGCCTGGGCAATGTGGTGAAACCCCATCTCAACCTCCCCAAAATACAAAAATTAGCCAAGTATGGTGGTACACACCCAGCAGTCCCAGCTATTGGGAAAGCTGAGGTAGGAGGATCACTTGAGTCTGGGAGGTCAAGAGCCTGATAGCACCACTGCACTCCAGCCTGGGCAACAAAGTGAGACACTGTCTCAAAACAACAACAATGGCAAATTAATTAATTAAATTAAAAGTCAATTAAAATTCCATCAAAGCCAAATTTAAAAAGCCTATGTGAAAAATAATTATTCTTGCTGCACTTTATACAAATAATTAGGCCAAGTATAAGACTAAAGCTTATTTTTATAGGCAAATCAGTCTTACCATGATTTATCTTTAGTGAAAATGGGAGACCGGAGAGAGAAGATGATTTTTCAAGAACTATGGTATACCTGCTATTAGATTCCAGTCTCATCAATTGTTTTTGAGTTTTTTCCTGTAATTTAGACTGACCTTGATTATTCCTGTGAACGAATCAGTTATCTCTGACTGCAGCTCAGAAGAAACAAGAGGGATGAGTAATGTAAAATTCCAGATTAGTATTCTAATTCTGGGTATATATTGGAATCAGCTACCAACCCCATATCAATTTGGTTCCAACAGTTGCCAAGTTCATAGAAAGCCTTCTTATTTAGTTTACTTGGGATAGTTTTTACTTATTTTGCTTTACTCTTGTGGAATATATTGCTGTTGTACTCTATGTGTAGGAATGCAGGATAAGCTTACTCGATGTTCTCTTAAACTGAATACTTTTTAATCTTTCAGATATCACCTTTTGATGGAATCCAAGCGTTATGAGTCGTCCTCAACATACTCATGCTTTCTGACCAAGTTCCTCTCTAACCTGAATACAAAAGACCCAAAAGGCAGGAATATCATCGCCCCTATTCAACCTGAAGAAGTTACAGAAGATGGATTTTCATCCCTCTACAACCCTTACGATTAGGGTTCTCTTATAAAAGGTAGGGGGAAAATATGTCAGAGGCATTCGAACCAGAGCAAATCTATCTTGAATAGGAGCCGGGTGAAATAATACTGAGACCTACTGGGCTGCATTCCAAAGTGGTTAGGCATTCTTAGTCACAGGATGAGATAGGAAGTTGGCACAAAATACAGGTGACAAAGACCTTGCTGATAAAACAGCATGAGGTAAACCAGCTGGCCAAAACCCACCAAAACAAAAATGTTTTATGAAAGTGACCTCTGGTCATCCTCACTGCTCATTATATGCTAATTATAATGCATTCGCATGCTAAAAGACACTCTCACCAGTGCCATGAGTTTACAAATGCCATGGCAATGTCAGGAAGTTACCCTATATGGTCTAAAAAGGGGAGGAATCCTCATTTCTGGGAAGTGCTCACCCCTTTCCCAGAAAACTCATGAAACATCCACCCCTTGTCTAGCACATAATTAAAAATAACTATAAAAATAGTCAACCAGTAGCCGTTTGGGCTGCTCTTCCTATGGAGTAGCTCTCTTTTATTCCTTTACTTTCCTAATAAACTTGCTTTCACTTTACTCTATGGACTTGCCCTGAATTCAATCTTGTGTGAGGCCCAGGAACCCCCTCTTGGAGTCTGGATCGGGAGCTCTTTCAGGTAACAAATTCATCACTGAATACTGTCCGAGTTGTTTTAGTCATAGTACTTGGAGTACCAGAATCCCTGGCTGATTTCTGCCTATGATCCACAAAATCATGAGATATAGTTGTTGTTTTAAGCTGCCAGGTTCTGGAGTGTTGTTTTTTTGTTTGTTTGTTTTTTTGTTTTTTTTTTTTTACATAGCAATAAATACTTGGAACATTTCCCAATAAAAATGTTATATAACCTTTTAAAAAAGATTTAGTGCAAGTCTCAAAAAAAAAGTGCATGTAGTTAACAAAAACCATTCTCCTAGCCTGCAGTTGAAATCAGTCTGTGTGCCTGAGAGTCATTTGTATCGGCAGGACCAAACAGTCCAGTCCCTGACATTCTGTGCTTGGGAAATGTTTGCTGACTAGTAAATGCATACTTCTAACATGATTTTAGGCTCCCATGATAAAGATCAAGGGCCTAAAAAATAAGTACCAAATCACAGAATGCAATCCCAAAATGAACCAGAGAGAAAAGAAAAAAAAGAGGACTCCAGGAAGATAAAAACTATATATTACTATTATAATTCCTTTACAAGATTTTCTTATTCCAAGAATGATATTCAAAGGACAGTCATTCAGTAAGTATTTATTGAATATATTCTATTCACTAAAAGGTATTTCTTTTTGGAAGAAGAAAGTGCTGAGGGCATAAATACATGCCAAATAGAAACTGCAGCATGTATAAAGGTTCAGAAGTTAGACCGTCAAAGGACTATGAGTTATTCAGCAGAGCAAAGATTGCGGGAGGCAGGGGTACTTAGGGAGATGATGAGATACCAAGTGGAAGAAGTGAACAGAGGCAGATCATGAAATGCCTTTCACGCTGTGTTAAGAAATTTGAATATTGTTCCAGGAACAATGGGAGACATGGAGAGTTTCACAGAGGTGATTCACTCAGAACTGCATTATAGAAAAATCTCTTCAGTTGCTAACTGGAGCACTAAACTGATGATCCCAACCCAAAGCAATAAATCAGATAGATGCGGACGGTCTGGTGCAGGTGACTGGCAGTGGAAGATATGACCAAATTTTAATTATATTCAAGATCAAACTATCTTGGTGATTGTCTGGATATGGGGCAAAAACAAGAGGGAAAAGGCCGAGTTAACCCCCAGGGTTTTGGCTCAAAAGTTAAAGAAAACTAGATGTGAACGAGGGTTAAGAGGAAGATGTGGTGACAAGCTCACAAGTCCAGCTCTGTAAATGAGAGCTCCCGCTGGATCTGGCAATCGGCCATTCTGCCTTTACAATGCTTCCAGAAACTACATTAAAACAATATGGATTTAGAAGTCGGTAGCCCGTGCTGCAAGCAGAAGACTTAGGAATAAATCAATGCAGCGACCTAGTACTGCTGAATCATATTAATCACAGCATCAGGATGGGCATAGAGGCAATTTGTAAAGAAATCACTCTCCCCACCTCTGAATCTTCACAGTGAACTATAAATAACTTGAATAGGTAGCAGAAAGAAAGCAGAAACAGTGAGATGTACACTAGTGAAAGAAAATCAATTTAATCTTTGTGTTCAGGAGATAGCACGATTTTAGTTTAAAATACTTAATTCAAAGCAACATAACTTTTTGTACAGGAAGAAGACCATTAATTCGAGCTATGAGACACTAGTCTTATCTTACTCCCTTACCAGCACATTGCCTCTAACTGTGGAGGACTCAATGGAGAAGCCCATAAATAACCTTGTGTTTAGATAAGAAACGCTGAGTTAATGAAGGCATGAGATAAAAGCTATGGGGAGAGGACCCAGGACAGCACAGAACAATGAGAGTTCTGGTCCTAATGCCAACTAGTTAGTTGACTCAAGGAAAGTAAAATCTCTACAGTTACATTTTCTCAAACATAAATTCCACTTTTACAGTCTAAGTTTTTTTGAAGCTGAATTATTTACAGGCCAAGATTCTAAAGATGGCCTTTACATTCATGAAGGGCTATTTATAGAAAGCAAAATAAAAACAGTATTTTTTGAGTGCTGACTATATACCAGGAATTCTTCTAGGTTGTAAGTACATATTTCACTTTACTTAAAGCTTTCAATTAGTCCTGAGGAAACTGAAGATCAAGGATTTGCCCGTGGCTATAGAGTAAGTGGCTGAATTGGGATTTAAAGGCAGTCCTACTGGATTCTGCATCACTTTTTGCTACCCACATTGTTACTCCAAGGAGAATAGCCACCTGCTGTTTTCCAAATTAAAATTCACAGCAAAAGAGGGATTGGGAATTGTTTTGTGGGGGAAGTAGGCCCAGTGCAGGGGTTTACATGTAGCAGGGAGAATCAAATTTTCAGACAGTAAAGTTTGTCAAAGGAAGGTATAGATAACTCTTGTTCCTGTGAAGATCTATAAAAACATGACATATTTTCACCTTTCCAACATGGTTTATACGTGATCCTTGCCAAGGGTAGGAGGAGAACTGGAACAGGTATTTCAAAAGCCAAAACAACTTTATATTATTAATCGATTTCCCAGCGTGTAGTCTCTTGCCAAAGCATTATCACTGATATAATAATGAGCACAAATAGTGATTCTAAAACACAATTCTACATCTCTCAAGTAATTTGTGTTATCATATTTTTTAAAAATTATGTTCTTTTTACATTATAATGCTATGAAGATGAAAATGTCTAATTCAATGAGGGTGTTTGCTTTGGGAATTCATTCTCAGGTGGATTAGCAGTTTGTAAACAGTTATTCACTTTCAGAAAGAGAAAGCCTTATTAAGCATGCCTTAGGTTTGACAAAAGGTTATTCTTTCCACAAACCAAATTCATGCAGCTTACTTCTAAGCTCCAGCTTTTCAAATTATCAGTGAAAATCACCTACTTTAAACTAATGAAGACTACTCTAAATGAGAAAAAATGCTGTTGCCAGGCAACGATAATGACATAGGGCTTCTTTTCTCTCTCACCAGATGGATGCTGTCACGCCATCTCTAGCTACACGTTGCTGAGATGACACTGTGTCTATATAACTGCTTTTTCCCCCATCACAACTTCTCATGCTAAATTTACCAAAAAATACCTTTTCTATGAATGGAATGAAAAAATGTATTTCTGACCATTGAATTGTGAAAAACAAAGATGTATCAGACAGTAGTTAAGTCATTCATATTATTGAAAGATTATTTGCATTCTGCTATTCGAAAGTAGCCTAAGGTATCTCCTGGGCAACCCAGTTCATGGGACCGTGTTTTGCCAGTTCAGTACAACCCAGCTCTTTGAGTTCTACAGTTTGCATTTCACACTAATTCAATCCATTATCTTTGAAACACAGACATGTACTTTAAAGAAACCCTCCCACCATAGTGCAATTTTGATAGACTCAAAAATTACTGAGTAAAATACAGAAGCAAAATAATAAGTAGTTAAAAAGCAAAATCCAGAAGGCAGCATTTGATAGCACATGGAAATATTTTGCTCCCCGATCTGCAGCTAGAGGAATATTTGCTAATGGCTATTGGTACCCAAACCACAGAAAACAGGTTTTTAAATAATTCAAGATGGAGTCCTCAAGTCACCAAGAATATGCTTTCTTCATTGTCACATTAGCCATATGGGGCCTCTTACGCTTAGGTACGCCTAGGAATCTATTTTGCAGTAAATATACAAGATTTTGCACAGGACACAAGCTAAGTAAATTCGAATAAAGTCACACATATAACACATAGTTGTAAAATGTTTTAAAAAGCGAAAGAAATAACAAGAGGCATAATGTTCTCAATGCTGATTCCAGGGATATAAAATTTCCTATTATAGCCTAAATATAGAGAACTGCAGGCTGACAGATTAAAATCCATCTGCAATTCAGCATATCAACATGGACACATGAAAGAAAACTGTCTGAGAATTCAAGAGTAACAATGGAAGAGGATGATCAAGGAAAAAAAGTGACTTAGACTTTAATACCTTACCTGTCAAATCCTCAAATCCTAGTTAAGTGTTTTACAATTTGTTTACTTAGGAGGAATGAGACAGGGCTGTAGTTGTGCCTGTAACATTTCTCACAGAGATCTCTGTTATCCAACTCTTAGTAATTATGCTACTTTGTGGTTTTGATTTTTGTAAACAAAACGTATTACTGTCTTAAAAAATTTCTGAGTTAGTGAATCTTCTCCAGAGATCCCTAAGAATAAGGATTAAATTTGATCAGCCCTTTTGTAGTTAAACGTCTTGCCTCAGTTGTCTGCTGTCAGGAATTCTAACTTGCCAAGCTGTGCAAAAATAAGAAATCATGTCAAGTAGCCCTGACACATTTTAGTAACACAGCATTAGGGTATGTGTACCCTTAGAATCAATAGTTTAGATTTAGGAGATGGCATAACTGAAGTTTATTGGAGCCTTTGAGTTCAGTTTAACAAATTCCAGAATTATCAGATTATTCCCCAAAGGAGGGAGAGTTAGGCTATATATAGACTATAGTTAATTCAGAATTGCAGTTGCAATTAAAACTGAAGCAGTTCAATCAAATACGGAGTGAAATACTCCGATTACACCAAGATAAAAGAACTCCACAAATATGGCTCAAGGCAGATAAAGTAAGATCAACCATTTCAATCATAACCAATGTCTCAGTTCATTAGATGACTACTGGTTTCTCACTGAAATTTTTCCTTAGAGTTTAAAAAATTCTGTGAATTATCTAAGAATTTTATTCCGTCATTAAAGTGATGAAAATAAACAAACAACAAAATCACCTAGTGCTGCTCAAGTTGATGGTCATTACTTTATTTCGACTATGTCATCAGTACCTGGACATGAGGACACTTGAAACACTTTCAATATAAGCTCTAGAGCTTCTAATGGTAAGTACACAGATCGTGTCCTGTCAACAGGTAAAAATAATCTGAATTTTGTTGAACTAAACCCTTCACTAAGTTGTCCCTTATAAAAGCCATTGTGGAAGTTGAGTATTCTATCTTTGTAGCTGTCATGAATTAATTGAGCGATAGCAAGAGAAAGAACGAAGTGTTTTTATCTAGGATTAAATAACGTTAAACATTGGGACTCCAGGATGTTTTGTTACAATCATTTCAAAAACCAATATCATATCTTATAGCAAATAGGAATGAAGGAAGGAAGGAGGAAATAAAAGAAGGGAGGAATAAAATAAAAGAAGGAAGAAGTGTGGAAGAGAGGTAGGGAGGGAAGAAGTGTGGAAGAGAGGTAAGGAGGAAAGAAGGGAGGAAGAGAGCGAGGAGGACACAGGGAGGGAAGGAAGGAAAAGGAGGAGGAAGAAAGGAAGGAAGGAAGGAACGAAGGAAGGAAGGAAGGACAGAAAAAAATAGATCTACTGTGTTTAGGATTTAATAGTAAGTCTCTGAACTTTAACAAATAATTTTTTTGTACTAGCTCATTTACTCATAAAAACAATAATTCCTTTATAGTGATCTTAAATCACAAGAAAAATAATCCTGTAAATGCCACCACACACTGTACTGACAGTTCTTTGCTTCCAAAATTGTGCTTCCTGTCTGACCTCTATAACAATATAGGGTTTTATGTGGGGATCGTACAGCTGAGGATAAGGAAGTTCTGGCTGTTCTTTTTGTTTTGGCACATGAATTACCATATTTTAATGAAACCATTATCTTTTTGTTTTCCCTTTTTAAATTATGATTGTAACACCTCTGTTTCTCTATCTCTGGGTAAAAAAAGAAAATGAAAAATTCAGTCAATAATCCAGATGTTTTTAATTTTCTTATGGATGAGTTACTGTGAAGATAATACATCTAGGTGAATGACAATGTGGCTTTTATACAGATTTAGAAACAAATAGAGACAACTCTCCTCTCTAAACTTGACAAGACCAATTGTCTTCATGAGAACATTAAATATTTACATTATTATACTCCAAAACAAGAGATTCATACTTCAGTGGTGCTGAACAGGAACAATTCTTTATTAAAATGCTCCTATGAGGGGTGGAGGGTGCTAATCTGTTTTTGTATTTTCTACAGATTAGTTCTCAATTTAGAATATTAGATATTATTTGAATCAGATATCAAAGAATGTCTTTTTAATGAAATAAAGAAGATGTTAATGACTAAAATCTGTTGGTACTAATACAAGTTGCACTAGAGTAACAATAATAATGTGTGATGGTTAATTTTAGGTGTCAACTTGACTGAATTAAGAAATATCTAGCAACCTGGTAAAGCATTATTTTTGCTTGTGTCTGTGAAGATGTTTCCAGAAGAGACTAATATGTGAGTCTGAGTGGAGAAGATGAGAAGATCTTTCCTCAGTGAGAGTGGGCATCCAAAAAGGCAAGACCAGAAAGAACAAGAACAGAGGAAAGGTGAATGTGTGCACCCATCTGCTGAAGTTGGAATACATTCTTCTCCTATCCCTGGACAACAACTCCAGGCTCCCCTATCTTTGGAGTCCAGAACTTATACAAGTGGTCCCTGAGTTCTCAAGCCTTTGGTCTTGAACTAAGAGTGACATCATTCATTGGCTTCCCTCATTCTGAGGCCTTTGGACTTGGACTGAGCAATGCTACCAGAATTCCAGGGTCTCCAGCTTGCAGATGGCCTGTTACAGGATTTCTCAGCCTCCGTAATCATGTCAGCCAACCTCTCTAACAAGTGTCCTCTCATATACCTGTATCTGTATCTACAAATTCTGTCTCTCTGGAGAACCCTGATTAACAAAACATGGTCATATAAATGAACTGACTGCAGAGTCCCTTCTTACAACTCAAGTCATAGGACCTACTTAATTTTTATTCATACATTTTAGTTACTTAACATATCCCTTACTAATTTCAAATTACACATCACAGTTTCTAAGCAGCTCATTTGTACACATATATCAATGTAATCAGAGAGCAAATTCATGAATTCTTCATATAAATATGAATTTATATGAAAGTCTCATAAAAGTGTGCAAGTATGTAAAAAATATCAACTTCTAAGTCAATAACAAGAAAAAGGGACCCTGTAGAAAACTTGAAATTTGAAATAAAGCAAAGTATTCTTTGGCTAAAGCTAACCTTCTCTTAAACATTAACACGTGTTTACTAGCACACTTCTTGGGGAAATGCACCACCACCTATCTGATATACAAAACTAGGAAACTCATGAATGCTCTTGAAATACCAGATGCTTTTCTTTTTGTAAGAGTTCATAACAACTCATAACATACTTGCCCTTTCCCCCTGGAATCAAACATCAATTTGATAGCACCTAAAGAAAGAATGGTTGAAATTTTATTTTATTTTATTTTATTTTATTTTATTTTATTTTATTTTACTGAGACAGAGTCTTACTCTGTCGCCCAGGCTGGAGTGCAGTGGCGTGACCTCGGCTCATTGCAACCTCCACCTCCCGGGTTCAAGCGATTCTCTTGCCTCAGCCTCCCAAGTAGTTGGGATTGCATGCACACACTACCATGCCTGGCTAATTTTTTTGTATTTTAGTAGAGATGGGGTTTCACCATGTTGGTCAGGCTGGTCTTGAACTCCTGACCTCATGATCTGCCCACCTTGGCCTCCCAAAGTGCTAGGACTACAGACTTGAACCACCGCGCCCAGACCTTCAGTATCGTTTTATAACTACTTATCACAACACACAACTTTAAAAATGATAAATTGATTTTTTCTATGCAAATGAATAGAGATCCTAACTAGTTTCCTGTTAGTAGCCAACCTCTTCATCACCTGTAATGAAATTATTTTACAAAGCACAAAACGATCTAGCAATCCAGCTACTAGCTACCGATCTACCCATCCACATGTATTTGTGTAGTTCAATAGGACAGAATACTAAACAAAAGTTGTAAAATCAAACGGGGTGAGGATAATGGAAATGGAAAGAATCAGTCATTTTATTAGTAAAATCCACGTTTTCCATGGCAATTAACCGTCACTCCAACCTGATTACAGTGACAGCACATTGACACACGTGGCTATTAATTCCCTTGGAACAATACATTAAAGAAAAATTGCAAATTCTCATGGAACTCAGCACCCACCAGGGACCTCATATGCTTCTGTCACAGGCTTCAGAGAGCTTTTTTGTAAGCCTGAATACACTAACTACATACATCCACACAGACTATTATGTACAAAGGTGTCTATAAGAAAAAGTAAAATAATTTTATAATTTTATTTGTGAATGTGCTAGTTTTCTTCAGTGAGTTTTGGCACAGTCACCTTGAAGAGGGAAAAACAGAACTCTTCCGCAAGTGTTTGTGGCAGGTCACGTTTGTGTGGGAAGTAATGCCCTCATTTTGACCAGATAAGAGAAATTATCTGAAAGGTGACAAAACATTTTCCAGTTCATGACCAAGAAAATAACTGTTAAAATTTTCCTGGCTAATAGGGAATACATAAATACTGTAAACATTCTTGCAGATGCAATAATTCTTCACTTCTTTTTATGTATTTCTACACATAGCATTGATTGTTCTTGAAATTCATTCTTACACTTTGTATTTTCTAAGGAGTTACAAATCTGAGTTTAAATACATAATTTTCCCTTTAGTAAATAAAAGTGGAGGGAATAGAAAGTTGCTTTCTGATTTTCATCTTATATAAGGAAAGTGTCCTCTGCTCTGATTATTCATTTTATATTTCATATTACAAAGGATATAGAAAACATTTTTTTCTTTTTTTCTTTTTTGTGTTTTTGAGACAGAGTCTTGCTCTGTTGCCCAGGCTGGAGTGCAATGATAGGATCTCAGCTCACTGCACCCTCCGCCTCCCGGGTTCAAGCAATTCTCAGCCTCCCGAGTAGCTGAGATTACAGGCATGCTCCATCACACCCGGTGAATTTTTTGTATTTTAAGTACAGATGGGGCTTCATCATATTGACCAGGCTGATCTCGAACTCCTGACCTCAAGTGATCTGCCCGTTTTGGCCTCCCAAAGTGCAGGAATTACAGGCGTGAGCCACCATGCCCAGCCAGAAAACACATTTTTAAAGAACAATAGTCAAGGACATAATATAAAAAGTATAATTTCTCAGAATCAAACATTTCTGAATTATCAAACACTGAATTTGAGGTTTAGTCATTCAGTTAATCGTTTACATGAAAATCATTTTTACAATCAGAGCTAATTTTTTGCAAAGTATTCTTACTAATTTTTAACCCAAATTTGACATTCTGCCCCAGATGCAGAGAAGGTGAGAATACTGAAAACATGTATATAGAAAGGTTGATCTAGTTCATTAAACTAAGCGGGACTGAACTAAAATATGTACATTTGAAGGCTGTAAGGCTCCCACGGCTCATTGCTGCTTTCAGTGGGTCAAATTTTTTTAAATCTCTATACCTGGTGAGGAGGCAAATGGCTTCTAGACAATGTACCCACTCTCATATATATAGCCACCCCTCAAAAGAAGAAGCAGAAAGAGTTATTGTTGTGGTGGTTGTCTGCTTATTCCAAAGTTTGTAGTTGATCCATTTAATATGAAAATTTGTTTCCCAGGGAACACTTAGTGGGAGGACTATAGAGAATAAACAAAATAAATTAAATGAATAAATTACACATATAATGACAATTGTTTTGAAGAAAAATAAATTTATCTGCCTTTAATGCTAGGCAGAATATGTGGCAGAATATATTAGATATTATAGAACACAAGAAGGTGGCCAGAGAGTCCTATGAGAGGAACAGGTCTTCATAAAAGGACTCTGGGAGCAGTGTGCAGGGTGTATCAAAAAGCAGAGAGAACAGAGATGAGTGATTAGGAAACTTTAAATCAGGACAGAGGATGATGCAGCTGCCAGAGCTCAAAGGCAAAGGGAATACTGAAGGTGAAATGAACCCAACAGACACTTCAAAGGAAAATCTGAGACTTAGTAACTTACCAGATATAAGAAACAAAGAAGAGAAGATAAAGAGGTCTTTAGTGCTTTATACCTAGGGACCAAGAGAATGGTGGCATCAATGTCACTTATGAAGACATTATTAATAACAATTTAAAAATTACTTATTTTTACTGAAACCTGAACCACTCGAATCCTGAGTTTGTGTCTGATCTGCTGGTCATCGCTCAAAAGTTTCCTCCAATCCTTGCAGCATTTTGGAACATTTCTTTAATATTTATATGCATGCTAGGAAAATGCTCACCAGTTTGCCACCAATGGTCTAAGACAGGTACTCTGAAGACATTTTTGGACCATTCCAGGGTCTCTACATCACATCGTTCTCCAGCCACAAATAATGTTTTGAACCTGAATATGAGACAGTGAATTCAAATTATTCCTGGAAAATAAATCAATATAATTGTATTTACATTTTAAAAACATTGTTTAACCACACTCATTATGTCAGAGGAATACAGCCATATAACCAATACATCAGACTGTATAATGATGAGAGTCATTTCTTGTTTGGGCCCAAATGTAACCAAACACACATCACAGAATTGGAGTGAGGTACTTTCCAAAGTAGAATTCACAGCTAGCACTTTTCAGTTTTTAAAAAAGCAATTGAGTTGATCTCTGTAATCAATCAATCACGTTGATCTAATGATCAAAGATAAAATATATTTCACCTTGATATTGTCCCTGCTAATTTTAGCTCCAAATTTGTTTGCTGAATTCCAAGTAAGGGTATACATAAAAAATACATACATAAGTATTGGTTAAGGCAGCAAATATTCTTATAAATATGAATTTGTTCCTTCTTGTGAGTTCCTCTGATAAAAATTACTTTAATTGCAAGTACATATTTTTCCTATTCCAAGGACATATATAGGAGAAATAGCTAGTGAAGAAGTAAGTGCCATTGTGGCCTTGGAAGTCAAAAAAGTTCTTCAGTCAAAAGGAATACAAGAGTACTAATAGTTGGAGGAGAATAAGCATTTTTGGCAGAAAGCACCATACTACAGAATGGAAAAAATAAAATAGAAAAATACAATTGCGTTGACCCAATTAGTGGTTCATTGAGAGCAAGGGTGTTTTTTTTTTTTTTTTTTTTTCCATTTTCAAATGTCCTCATGACCTGTTTCTATATATATGTATATATAAAGTGTGTGTGTGTGTGTGTTTGTGTAGAGTTAATTCATTTATCATCAAAGTAAAACACAGTTGACAAACAAAAACCTGTCTACTGATCCTGAATAATGTAGTATATTTTACTATTCCCTTAATTTTTCATATCATTTCATAAAGATTCATGGAGATTCAAATACTTCTACTCCTATGTTCCAATAACATTCTGTTTCTGTCTTTGCTATAAACATGTATTTCATTGTAGAATTCTTTTGTTTTTGTCTATTTCCCACACTGCACTATGAGCTCCTTAGGAACGTGTATCCTTATAACTCCAAGACCAATCAAAGTACATGAAATTTTTAGGTATTTAAACATTTCTAGATGCTCAGAATGATAAAGGGCAGAGGTGGGGAGTTAGCAAAATTAACACCGGTTTGACTTATTCTTCTAAGTAAAAGAGGAGGCATGTTGGTTTCTAAGAGTGTGGAAATTGAGAAAAAACAGTGTCCTAAGGAGAGCAAAATTCTGGAATTACTATTCTAGGATATTTTCAGTGCACAACATAAATGTGAAAAGACTTGAGAACAGCCAGTTGTTTTTTATGGACTCAATCAGTGACCTGGGAGGCTATCCAGGGGTAGCACAGATTGGGGTGTGATACAAGGGGCGGGAAATCAATGCTGGAAAAGCTATCTGGAAACTCTAGAACAGGCAGGAATTACAGGAAACAAGGCAGCAATAACCAGAATAAAAGAAAACTACAAGGAAAAATAGTGAGGTAAATGACTAGAAGTCACATAAGAAAAAGTTTGATGAAAATGAAAGCAAGGTGAGAAAAACAGGGTGTCATTATGGGCAGAAGGCAATTTCAAACTTAGAGATCTTGAAAACCTGTCTGTTCTGAAGGATGATAGTATTTATGGTAGCTGAAGTCTAACAGTGGAAGACACAGAGGGAAATAAGAGTATTTTGATAGAAGGATTCTCTTCAAGATAGTATTAAAAATCACTCAAGGATCACAGAGGTGGAGAGTAAAATGAAAATCTGTGACTTGTTGATTAAATAGGCTAAAGGGAGGTCTGAAGAGTGGGGAGATGGTATTACAAAGAGATAGCATGAACTTCAATAGAAGATGGGCCACAAAACAAACAAAATTGTCAAGATCTCATGTCACCAATTTTACTTTAACATCTTCCCTAACTTTTATAGAAAATCTTGGCCCTGAAGGTGCATTTGACCGCAGTAGTGAGAAAAAAAGTAACAGTTTAATTATTCTACAGAAAATAGAGGTTATAAACAGCTATTGAAAATACACAATAATTAATTTTTGAGTATAAATGAATCACTGATAAATGATGTCTATATGTGAAGTGCAATCACCTAGAATTATTCATGGTAATTTTCATCTATAGAAGATGATACCTTTATATCTATAAGGGTGTCAGAAGAGGTTTTAGTTAAATTGTGATAAAACATCCAATATGCTGTTACTAGATCCACACTCGTTTTCTGAGAAAAGAAAAAAAAATCATCTGCTAATATAAAGATATTCAGAGAGTAAAATTATCTTATTACTTTTTTTTTGCAATAATGTAGTTGGAGCCATGAGGATGAACTAAATTGGTGATATAGTTAGGATATCTGTTCCCTCCAAATCTCATGTTGAAATGTGACCCCCCCCCCCACAACCAGTGTTGAAGGTGGGGCCTAGTGGAGAGTCTTGGTGTCCTCCCCATGGTAATAAGTGAGTTCTCACTTATTCTACTTGTTCACATGATAGCTGGTTTTAAAAGCCAGGCACCTCGTCTCCTCCCTCTTGCTTCCTCTCTTGCTATGTGAGATGCTTGCTCTCCCTGAGTCTTCAACCATGATTGTAAGCTTTCTGAGGGCTCACCAGAAGCAGATGTGGCACTGTGCTTCTTGTACAGTCTGCAGACCCATGAGCCGAAATAAATCTCTTTTCTTTATAAATTATCCAGCCTCAGGTATTCCTTACAACAATGCAAAATGGGCTAATACACTGGTATGGTTCAATGGAAATACAATGTTAGCTACAAGTCCAAGAAATATATCTAGTTTAAAATTTTCTAGTAGCCACATTCAGAGAAAAAAGAAGAATAAGCTCAAATTAGCTCTAATAATATATTTTGTTAAAATACATATATCTCAAATGTTATTATTTCAACACGCAATGAATATGAAAATTACTTGTGAGATCTTCCAGTCTTTTTTTAATACCAAATCTCAAATCGGGTTTGCCACATTTCAAGAGCTCAATAGCCACGTGAGGGTATTTCAAGAGTTCAATAACCACATGAGGCCAGAGGCTATCATATGGGACAGTGTAGAGGCAGACCATGGTTTTCTGAAGAAGCAACAGAATTCTTACACTGGCCTGGATGAAGAAAAATTGTAATTCAATACTATGTATTCAATTCCTGCTCAAATCATTATGCTGATAATGATTTGTATGCATGCACATGTGTGGGTATGCAAGTGTCACGGAATGCAGCTAAGACAATCTATTATTTAACATTTTATAAGTAAACTGTTATCTCAACAGATTTCCAAAGTTTAAAGTATGATTGGTTTAATAATTAGGCATTGTTATAGGACTTCACATAATGGTACAATCCACTGTCAAAAATAATATTTGAGTAGCTGTCCACTTGTATATTTCTCCACTGCATATTCAAAATTATCTAGGAGCAGTTCTTTAGCACAATAAATGCCAAAGGTAAAATTTACATGTTCTGATATAGACACAGAAGCATTATTTTAAATTTCAGATAGGAGAGTAACCTATTACTAGTCTTTGTTAAGAAATTATTTGAATAATTTTTGTGAGTACCCACTAACAGTATGCAATGCTGCTAGGGTAATCTTTAAGCCTTTGAGAACAAAGAAGGGGGATAAAAAGTAAGGGCGAAAATGGGAGAGCAAGGAAGGGAATGAATAAGAGGCAGAGACTAGGGGAAAAAAAGCACACAATTTTTTGACAAACTACATATACATTTGCAATTTGAGATAAATTTAAGTAATCAAATGTATGTATTTGTAATTTGAGATTAAAATTTGATGACCAAAATGACATCATCTGAGAGAATTGTCATAACAGAATGAAAAAATTGTTTAAACATTAATTGATTAAAGTAGGTTAAAGTATAATAAAGATTAGTGTAAAGTTTTAATGTTTAAAATGAGGTTGACTTCACCGAGAAAACACCAAATGGCGGATGACGCCGGGGCAGCGGGGGGGCCCGGAGGCCCTGGTGGTCCTGGGATGGGGAACCGCGGTGGCTTCTGCGGAGGTTTTGGCAGTGGCATCCTGGGCCGGGGTCGCGGCCGTGGACCGGGCCGGGGCCGGGGCCGGGCCGGGGCCGGGGCCGAGGCCGCGGAGCTCACGGAGGCAAGGGCGAGGATAAGGAGTGGATGCCCGTCACCAAGAGGGGCCGCTTGGTCAAGGGCATGAAGATCAAGTCCCTGGAGGAGATCTACGTCTTCTCCCTGCCCATTAAGGAATCTGAGATCATTGACTTTTCCTTGGGGGCCTCTCTCAAAGACGAGGTTTTGAAGACTATGCCGGTGCAGAAGCAGACCCGTGCTGGCCAGCGCACCAGGTTCAAGGCGTTTGTTGCTATCAGGGACTACAATGGCCACGTTGGCCTGGGTGTTAAGTGCTCCAAGGAGGTGACCACCGCCATCCGTGGGGTCGTCATCCTGGCCAAACTCTCCACTGTACCCGTGCGCAGAGGCTACTGGGGGAACAAGATCGGCAAGCCCCACACCGTCCCTTGCAAGGTGACAGGCCACTGCGGCTCTGTGCTGGTGCGCCTCATCCCTGCACCCAGGGGCACTGGCATCATCTCAGCGCCTGTGCCCAAGAAGCTACTCATGATGGCTGGCATCCATGACTGCTACACCTCAGCCCGGGGCTGCACTGCCACCCTGGGCAACTTCGCCAAGGCCACCTTTGATGCCATCTCTAAGACCTACAGCTACCTGACCTCTGACCTCTGGAAGGAAACTGTATTTACCAAGTCTCCCTATCAGGAATTCACTGACCACCTTGTCAAGACCCACACCAGAGTCTCCATGCAGCGGACCCAGGCTCCAGCTGTGGCTACAACATACGGTTTTTATACAAGAAAAATAAAATGAATTAAGCCGGTTACTGTCTAAAATAATAATAATCATCATCATCATCATCATCATCATGAGGTGGACACACCTATAACTTTAAATGCTATGTAAAAACAAGACAAAATGAAAAATATAAAGGCCATAATGTTGATAATCTTAGGACTGTAAAATAGGGTCATGTTTTTAATCATATGTTATTCAAACACTTTTCTGATATTTTAGAAAACTCCTGTGATGAAAGGCATTACGCATTTAGATAACACATTAAAATTTATAAAATGATAGGTTTGGCTGATCCCAGCAGTGCAGGCAAAGAGCAGCCAAAACGAATAATGTTATAGGTATTAATACCACATTTCCAATGCCTGTTAAGCCATAAATTAGTTTAAAGAACTCTAGATGGTTCAAATGCCCATGTCTTTGGCTTATATATGAAACTAGAGATTGAGAATTTCAAAAATATTCACTATTGAAAATGTAATGTACAACATTGTCAATTAAAAAATTTAAATATAGATTTTTTAGCAAACCAAGGGACAGCTGATATCTTGATGTTACCAGCATTTTTGCAAGTTGTAATATTTTTTGGCTATCCCCCATCCTCCATCACATACACTACAATTAATCTAAGTAATTGATTATAATAATAAACCATGCATTAGCACTGAGCTCTTATTTGATGGCAAATTTGACTATTATATATTTTAAAACATAGTATTTATTATTATGTTTTTGTAGTATATTCCTATTGCTTTTCTTCCTAAACTTGTTTACTGCTATTTTTAATATCATTATTATAGCAATCGTCATGCTGGCACTAATAAATTGAAAGGTACAATATTCCACAATGGATGATAAAAGTGGCTTCTTCTCTGAAAGTCAGAAAAATCCCTTCCATTTCCATTAAAATCACTTTACTATGTATTGAATGCAAAGGAAAAATTGTGAGATAATTAGTGGTTTAGAAAAATGTCAAAGTAATATTGATGACTTCTTTCACTAAATATGCCAGAAACTATCCATTTATTTTTGTATTAAAATTCCTCAAACTATAAAAAAGTTATTGTTATTTTATCAATTACAGACTGCTAATTGTATAATACTAATGAACATAAACAGAATACAAATCTAAATAAAATTTAGAAATAAGATATAATTGATGAAACAATAAAATCTCATAAATATTTAATCAAATATAATTTAACTCTCAATTCCTTTTAGTAAACAAAACTATACTAAGTGATTTGCTCTTTTTGTAACCATGATAATAATTGAAACAACAAATCTTAGTATAAATCTTAGTATAAATCTAAAATAAAATGTATTTTACAGTTGTCCTAGGCATCAGGTATCTTCTTATGGTTTCAAGGAAGTACGATACTTCCTTGAAACTTTTGTAAAAAAAAAAAAAAAAGAAAAAAAATAGTAACCTTTTCAACAGTTAAATTCCTCATTAATGACTTGACATTATTTTATTAATAATACAAAGGAATAAATGCCTACAGTAGAAAATTCATAAATATATCTTGTGTAAAAACACATTTTAAAAAGTTAAAATTGACATTTTTGTAGAGTAATCTGGGCCATCTGGATGGTAAATTTAGCTAAGTTAATTATATATGCTCTAGATCGGACTGTACAATATAGTAGCTACTAGCCACATGTGGCCATTTAAGTTTTTCTTTTTCTTTTTTTTCTTTTTTTTTTTTTGAGACGGAGTCTCGCTCTGTTGCCCAGGCCGGAGTGCAGTGGTGCAATGTCGGCTCACTGCAAGCTCCGCCTCCCAGGTTCACGACATTCTCCTGCCTCAGCTTCCCTAGTGGCTGGGACTACAGGTGCCCACCACCACGCCTGGCTAACTTTTTGTATTTTTAGTAGAGACAGGGTTTCACTGTGTTAGCCAGGATGAGTCTCCATCTCCTGACCTTGTGATCCATCTGCCTCGGCCTTCCTTAAAATTTCAATTAGTTAAAATTAAAAAAAAAAAAAAGTGCAATATAAATTTCTCAGTAATACTAATCCAATTCAAGAATTTAATAATCACATGTGCCTATCATATTGCAGAGATCAGTTTATTGGAGTGCTGTCCTAGATTATTATTGACTATTAAGTGTGTAGATAATTTCTGATGATGGTAACACATGGAAAGGTTTATCTACTTTAAAATCTATAATACTATAAACTAAACAAAATAATAATATCCAGAATAGAAAAAAAGGAGAGGAGAGAAAATGAATGGGCATGAGACCTATGCACCTTTCCCTAATTTTATATAAAACTGAACATAACTCAAGACTCAAATGAAGCTGAACATTAAGCAAAAAGGGAAATGGAAAAATGATAATGCTGTCAAATTAATTTTAGTCAAAAATAGAAATGAATAAAAAGCTAAAGACAAATCTGATGAAGAATTTTCAGTGAATAAAGTGAGGACCAAAAAAAAAATGAAAGTGAATATTTCCTTCAAGGTCCGTAAACTACCAAATAAGCAAAAATTACTCTTCACTTGTGCCAACAGATGTTAAATTAAAATAGATTATTTCAGTGATGCCTCATTGACTTCTAGTTCACATGACAGATTATCATTATTTTTTGCCATCAATATCCCTATGGTTATCTTCATTTTCCCTACATTCAATTTTCTTCTATTTGTTCCCATTCGAATTCACTTTTAAAATGTAAAGATGCTAGTGTTAATATTACACATGTATTTGACTCTTCTGTCAATGGCTGACTAGCATTTTGCCCAGCAGTGTCTCTCTCTCTCTCTCATCTCTCTATCTCTCTTTTTCTCAAACACAACCCTTTATCTCTCTCTTTTTCTCAAGTACAACCAAACAAACTGGAAAAATATAAAAATGAAGTATCTTTTGAATACATCAGAGAACTCAAAGGTAATAGCACTTAAGACATCAAAAGCCCAAAGAGAAAAAACATAGAGACACAAGACTGCTTGTCTTACTGCTTTCCTTCTTGGGACACTTGTTAATTGGAAACAGTAATTGAAGTGCTGGGAAACCGAACAAAAACTATGTGACTGACTGACAGGCGTTGAAACTAAATGGCAAATCCAGTCATAATAATTTCTTGGGAAAGGAAAATTGAAATTTAAAATTCACAATGGAAAAAAGGTGACATAGAACACCCAGACATTCAGTTTGCACACCTGAAGAGGTGTACCTAATAATGGAGGTAAACTGGAAAGAAACCAAGCCTCTCAAATACTGGAGTCTAGCTTCAAATCAGCTCCATTCCTAATTGAATAGAAGTGATCTTCCCTTAAGACAACTGCCTGTCAGAATAAGAATCACTCTGTGGGGATATGAAAACATCCGGTATCTCAAAACAGCTAGTTTCTTTTTTCTGTATTCGTTTTTATTTTATTTTATTATTATTATTTTTTTTTACTGAGGTGGAGTCTTGCTCTGTCGCCCAGGCTGGAGTGCAAGAGTGAAATCTCAGCTCACTGCGACCTCGCCTCCTGGATTCAAGCCATTCTCCTGCCTCAGCCTCCCGAGTGGCTGGAATTACAGGCACCCGCCACCATGCCCAGCTAATTTTTGTATTTTTAGTAGAGATGGGGTTTCACTACATTGGCCAGGCTGGTCTCGAACTCCTGACCTCAAGTGATCCACTTGCCTCGGCCTCCCAAAGTGCTGGGATTACAGGCATGAGCCACCGCGCCTGTCCAAAATAGCTATTTTCTTATAACAGTGATATAATGGAAGACAAGACCATATGATTAGACACTCAAGAGAAAAAAAGAGACATTAGAAAAACATATAAAATCAGGTGCTTTTGCTATCACTAATAGACTTCAATATAACTCGGATGAATATGTTCAGGAAATATACATAGAATATTAGCAGAGAACTGGAAATTATAATAAAGAATCAAATGATAATATTTAAACCGAAAAATGTTAAGAAATTATAAACTCGATGAAAGTTTAGATACAACTAGAGAGAGGATTTGAAACCCAAAATACAGTTTACAATAAAATCATCTAACTGCAACTGTGAAAAAAAGCAGAAAAATCATCAAATAGAGCCTATGAAATATAGGTGATATGGTAAAAAGTTCTAACATATGTGTTATTAAAGTGTCAAAGTTTAAGAAGAGAAAATAAAGTAGAAGAAGTATTTAAAGAGACGGAAAAGTTTCAAAAATAAGTGAAAGATATCAAGTCACAGATTTAAGAAGCAGTTTGCATCAACAGGAAATTGAATTCATAACTTAAAAACCTTCCCATAATGTCACTTCTGGCCCAGAGAGTTTTATTTGATTTTTAAATACTTCAAAACATTTAAATAAAATCAATTGTACATAAAATCTTCCAGATAATAGTGGGGAAAAGGCCTTTCATGCCCATTTTAGGAGACAAGCAAAACCCTGAAACCAAAACTAGTGAGAGTATAAGAAAGGAAAATAAGAGATCAATCTTGATTAAAACCCTAGGTTTTAAAGAAATCCCCAACTATAGAAAGGAAGGGGGGTAACAGGTGGAGCACAGAATATTTTTAGGGCAGGTAAAACCATGCCATAGTGATGGATGCATGTCATAATACTTCTGCTAAACTTCATAGAATGTTCAATACCAAGAATGAAAATGTATTTAAATTATGGATTCTGGATGATAATGAGGTATCAATCTAGGTTCATCAATTTTAAAGGAGATACAACCCTAATGTGAGATGTTCGTAGTGGGGGAGGCTGTGCATGCGTGAAAACATAAGCTATATAGAAGCTCTGAACTTTCCACGAGATTTTGCTGTGACCTAAAATTGCTCTAAAAACAAGGTCTACTAAAAAAAATCTTCAACAAAATGTCAGCAAATTAAATTCAGCTATATTTAAAAAGCATAATATATTAACCGAGATGTATTTATTTCAAGATTGTAAGAATGATTTGACACTTAAAAAATCAGTCACTGTAATTCACCACATTAACTCCTAATAGAATAAGAGGGGGAAAAGTCATATGGTTATCAGAATATGAAGAAAAAACATAGATAAAATCCCAAACATCAAAAAT